TTGTGCTAAGTGTTTTACAAGCACCCAAGCCGATCCTCGTGGGAACCTGATATCAGAGTGTTCACGGCCGCTGCTCATCAGATTATGAACCTGATGAGGTCTTGTGCCACACATACTTGTCAGAGTCCACAGCTCCTATGCACAGGCCATACTGTGCACTGTCTATCAATAGCAGCCTTCACCCAGCTGCGAGCAGACCTGCACAGACACATCGGCATTGATGAACTCAGCTACACACGTTCAATGACTCCCTACACTTGGTGTTTTATGATTGCTTTTCCCAACCACTCCACGCGCTATGGTAGAAGACAGCCATTTTATTGTGCTCAGAGATGCTGTGGGTCAGGAAGCTTTCAGGGACTGAGCATGGTGGCAGCTCCATGGGGAGGACATGGCTGGAGGCTTCACTCTGTGGCTGGGCAGGCGCTGGCTTCTGGCAGGAAGCTCAGCTGGAAGCATTAGAAGTTAGCACCTCCAGGCAGACTCTCCACGTTGTGCTTCGTCGCAAGGCGGCATCTGAGGAGGCCATCCTTGTCCAGCCCAGCTCAGGGCTTGGGAGCGAGCAAGCGAGTACTCCGGGGGAATTACAATCCACTAGTTTGGGAAGTCAGCCTTTACTTCTAGGACACTACGGCTATGGCCAACAGAGGTGGCTGTGCAGACACCTTATTGCCAGTAACACTACACATGATATGGCGGCAGTGTGGCCCCACGTGGGCAGGAGGGCCCACCTTCTTCCTTTACTGGATCTACTTTCTGTGGGTTAATATCTGCCACCCCGTTTCATTTCCAGAAATACAGGCAAAGGAACATTCCAGAAAATGAACCTCTAGTATGGGGATTCTGCTGATATATTATTCTATCTGCTTCCTTGATAAGTGGTACACAGGAGCGCAGAAGCATCCAAAGACCCTTTTCCTTTTCTCCTAAGGCCAGAGAGCCACAGCACAGCTCCTTCCTCCCCTCAGTCCCCTTGGAGGACCAGTGAGGGCTGAGAGGACCTAAAATTATTTATCTCCCTCCAATGAGGCCATGGCTCCCAGTGAACTCGATCCTTCGTCATTTTAAACAGGCGTTGACAGAAAGACCCTTGTGAGAGAGGAATTACTAGGCAGCCCAGCTGGTAAACACAGAGCTAAATGAAATCCAGCACTTTCCTTGGGCTCACAATGTAAGATGAAGGGAAAGGTCCTGTCTGTGAAAGGGAGAAGACCGGCAACCAAACTGTCCAAGAGATCTCCAGTGTAGATGTGGCTTCTTCAGTAAACTTCACATGTTCGTAATGAGCAGGACGCATCCAGCTATGGGGAGTGGAATATCCCTGCACCCCTAATGTGGTCCTCCTTCAGCAGCTGGCTTCTGAAGCAGGGTCCTGGGGAAGTGGCTGAGAGTGGGAGGTAGAGGTCTGGTAGGACGTGGTGGTCACTGGGGGTGTGTCACTAAGGGGTTTGCCATATCCCCAGTCGACCACTTTTTACTCTGCTTCCTGGCTACCATGGAGTGAGCAACTTGCTCCAGCACAACCAGCCCAGAAACAACGGGGCCAGCTCAGCAAGGGCCAGAACTTCTGGTGTGGTGAGCCAAAACATATCCCTCTAAGTCCCTTTCCTCCAGTTTGTTTGTTTGCTTGTTTTTTGGTCACAGCAGATAAAAGTCTAACACAGTCCCAATAGCTCCTGTGTGGGACAGCAGTCAAATTCCAGATTCTGTAAGTTTTACTTCATCTCCTCAAGAAGGGCTGGGAACTCCTTCAAGCAGCTTCATCAGTGGTAAGGCAGGGGGCCGAGTCCCTGAGCACCACTGCTGAACACGGTCGCAGCCCAGTCCAGGAGGACTGGTGGAAAGGGAGCGGAGTTCCGCCCGAGGGCTGGCGTTGGGTGCTCTGCACGGAGCACCTCTCAGGTGCCACACAACCTGGCTCTTCCTCCTCTACGGCAGGTACACAAAAGTGTTTTCATTCTGACAATGAGGGACATAGTGACCAGACACCAGCACTTTGGATAATATTCCATTTTGCCTCATGTCACTAGTTATTAGCTGAATCAATACATATTTTGAATAAAAGTGACCGTGTTGAACTGCTAATAGGTTAGCCATCTCCTGACTTACCTTCTTCAGATCAGTAGACTTGCATAAAGAGGAAAGAAGAGAGCTGTAGTATAGCCAGGCAAATGATCTGGTTATAGAATTTGTTTTGAAAAAAAAAATCAAAACTAGTCTTTAATATACTTATTCAATCTCTTGTGCTGGTGATTGAGAAATAGCTATAATTTTGTTTTCCATTTTTGGTTTGTAATGCAATGATCTTGGAACCTGGATAGGTAGAAGAGTCTGTAGTCATGGCTTTCTCCTAAGATGAGAGTTTGGCAGTGGGTTCTTAAAGAGCCTTTGAAGGGAGCCTCCCTGCGCCGCATTAGCAGACACTAAGCAGAGAGGTCAGCCCAGTTCACCACAAGGGACTGCAGGATCGGTCTGCCGTTCCTCGTCAACCTAAAAATAAAGTGGTGTGTTGTTGAGTGTGAGGTATTGTCTTACTGGGTCAGTAGCCGTCACTGCTGGAAAACTGGCCTATCACCTTGGAGAGAGAGAGAGCAAAGGAGCTAAGGGGTTGGCCCGCGATGCCCAAAGTGTGGACTACTCCCCTACTCACACTTCCGCATCCCTGCCACAGACCCTGGCACTCTGGAGACAGTCCCATATAGGCTGTACTTACTTGATTGTAAAACGCACTTATTGATTTCTTTAGACCTCACCATGAAGATGACTTGAGCTTCCTCTCACAGGGGTTGCACACACAGCATGCAAATGGCTGACCATGTGACATCACACAATCCACAAGGAGCTTACAGGCACAGTGCACACAGCTCTTCAAATCTATTATCCACGCAGATAGCTGGCCATGTCACACCACACAATCCACTACGTCAAAACGCTCCCCAGGCACACACAGGATGCGTTCTTATGAGGGACTTTTCTGTCTTTTTACTGACACATCATGGTGCTTAGTCTGCTATTACTGCACTCAGCTGACATGCTGACGCACAAGCCAACCAGCGAGGACTCCATGTGCTCCCCTGAACTCAGCCATCTTGTTCCGTGTACCTAGAAATGTTCTCATTCCCCTTTCCCTGGGAACTCACCCACAATTGGGCTTAAGAACCCAACAGGATGGACTGGGACTGTGGCTTAGTGGTACAGTGCTTGCCTAGCAGGCATGAAGCCCTGTTCGATTCCTCAGTACCACATAAGCAGAAAAAGCTGGAAGTGGTGGTGTGGCTCAAGTGGTAGAGTGCTAGCTTTGAGCAAAAGAAGCTCAGGGATAGAACCCAGGCCCTGAGTTCAAGCCCCAGGACTGGCAAAAAACCTCTATAAACTACAAAAAACAACAACCCACAAAACCCAACATGAATTATTAGCACCTTTTGCTTTGTACAAAGTCAATGCTTCACAAAGCTCGCAGGGTCTCTGGCGAGTCTGGGCTGTCTCCCTTGGTGGAGCAAGGGGTGCACGGCTGTTTTACATGTTCATTGTGCGAGGCTATCCCAGAGGGCCAGGGCACCTTACCTAGAGTGTATGTGTGTGGGGGAGTTATGTGCTTGGCTGTGTTCTGTGAAGTCTTTCTTGTTACACTTGACTTAGCTTCTGTGGTCATCCAATGGTGTGGATGACACATGGGTAAACAAAGTCAATGACAGTCAAGATAAAGTAGAGGCAGGGTAATCACTGAGTTCCTTCAGGGATCAAGTTGTTCAGTTCACTAAAAAATTACAACTTTATTTTCTCCTTTCCATGAAACATGTAAATTCAAAATACAAATCCATTTGGCTGAAGCTTCTGTTTGTCTATGTGTGGGGTCATAATAACCTCACCTTGCAGCTATCCTGAGAACTGCCCTGCCCAGCTTCTCTGTGGGAGGCCTCTTGTCCAACCACCAATACCGATTTTCCGATTCCTGAAATCACTAAGAATGTGTGGGTTTATATCGTAACCTCACAGGCCAGACCTCACACAGGCCACTTTTCCAGATGGCTGAAGAACACTACAGCTTCACTATGGGGAAAACCAATATGTCATGGCACACGCTTTCCGACGTCACTTGTAATTGAGTTTACGTGATTTATGTTTCCATTTTCGGCAGAGCTTAGAATCTTAGCAGTTTCAGAAACTCAAACACAAAACAAAACAAAACAGCAATGAAATACTCTATATGCTGGCAACTCAAAGACAAGGACTTTTCATGCTTGTGTTCTGAGTACAGTCCCCAGAGAGACTGCATCTGACAAGACTGGATGACTGGACCAAATGGAAAGGGGAAATCTCCCTACCAGAGGTTGAAAGCCTGTTTAGTAAAGCAAGGTCCAAAGCTCTCACGTCTAGTGTGCTCAGCCTGGAATATGTATGGCTCTCCATCACTGCTGGAGAGAAGCAGTATTCCACCAAGACCTGGGTCTGATGAGAACCACGAACTACCACGACTGTTTGGTTTCCTCTGCAGTGATCTCAGAAAACATTTCTGCTTCATGGGTGTTTGGACAACTGGTTAGGTTCAGCAAGATGCTGTGATTTGGATACAAAGTTCCCTTCCCTAATCATTCTGTGTGGAAGGCTTGGCACCAGCTGGTGGTGCTGTTTACTGAGAGCTGATTGGACCATGGAGATGCTAATAGGGTCAGTGCATTAACCCACTGATGAGTTCACAGTTGATTGACAGCCAGGAGGCGGGGCTTGGTAGAGGAAGTAGGTCAGTGGGGCAGGCTTTGAAGGGTGAATCTTAACCTGGCTCTGCTGGTCTTTCTCTGCTTCCTGGCAGCCATGATTTTCTGTTTGCCCTAGGCCTAAACAAGATGGAGCTATGTTAGTTGGCTCTGGCGCCAGGAGCCAAAACAAACCTTTGCCCTTTTACATGATGTCTGGTGTTCTCTCATACCTACACAGAGTGACTTCTGTCGCAGGCTGGGATCAGCTTAGTACATCCAAAAGATACCTACAAGAAGATAATCTCTAGGTGAAAACTGCATTTATTTAATTCTAAAGATTTTTAGCAACAAACATGTTACTCCTTTAACATGCTCATTTGGCTGATACAGTGCTTTTATTGTGTTGAAACATTTTCAAACAGCTGAGAGAAAGGACTCAAAAGCATTTTCACAGCACATGGGAGATGAAATCTCAGATGGGCAGAAAATAATTTGATTCTTTTATGTGCACAGTTAATCAATAAGGAGTCAAAAGCTTGGCGTTTTCCAATAGTACAGGGAAACACTACTGAGTACCATTTATTAACACTGAACTTTTTATGATGAGCACTGTTAGCAGTATAACATCTGCACGTACTCTTAAATTTCATACTAGTTTTGTTAGATTTGACTCTGTTCAAATCAACAAATATTCATACCTACATGAGGGAAGAAGGACATGAAGTCACCTTTTCATATTTTCATCTAAGTTCTTTTTATGTGCAAAAGTTGTACTGGGATTTAAAAACCCAATGCCATTTAACCATAAGCAATGTCACTGTTAACCATAAGCAATGTCACTTCAACATAAGCAATGTCACTGTTAACCACATTTGTTTTTAGGCTACAGGACTTCCCATTAGTCTTTCTTGTCGAAGGGCAATCAATCTTTTGAACCACTTTTCCTCAGCTTCAGCTTTCTCAATAAACAACTGGAATAAAACAGAAGAAAAACGTTATTGTGGACCAATAGCTGGGAGTTGACATAGTATAACGCAAGTCATCTTTATAGAGTACATCTCTCAAGATCTTAATTGCAGGCCATCTGTCAAGTGTTAATAATGCTCTTGGAGTGAAAGGACTAACACAGATACCATTGGGGGGCTGGGGTGCGTGGCTCAAATGCCTGAGGACCTGGGTTCAAACCCTACTACAACAAAAAGAGACCAACACACATAAAAAGGTAGTGCTATTAGTGAACAGTTTTGTACTCTGTATTTTGAGTTCATTTTCTACATCTTTCTGGGAGAAACAGTACAATTATACTATTTCTTAAAGAGAGCAAAATATATTAATGATATGCTAAAAGCAAAGTAAGAGCTAACATTAGAATTGGGGACAGGATTTTTTTTTTCCTTCTCTTTGTCTTTTTTTGTTGTTGTTGTTGCCAGTAGTGGGGCTTGAACTCAGGGCCTTGGTGCTCTTGCTTGCTTTTTTTTCCCACTCAAGATTGGCCCTCTACCACTTGAGCTACAACTCTGGTTCCATTGGCTATTTTTCTTATACAGAATACTTCTAAAAGCCAGAAAACGTGAGCTGGATCATCTTAACAGATTCAAATATATGTAACGAATTCTAAGGTCTGGAGGTCAACTGCCTATTTTTCTCCAGTGATCTTGGTGTCACACCAGAGGACTGTGATCGGGAAGAGTTTCAGTTGGGTGGACTCCAGTCGGGACTCTTACATTCGGATGAGCCAGAGAGTTGTCGTCCTGGTACTTGATAGCGGTGGGGATGCTGCTGGGGTCCAGCTCCTTCCCGACACTGGGCAGCTCGGTAGCCGTGGCCGCTGGGCCTGCAGCTGGAGCTGCCTGCTTCACCTCACTGGGCTCCACGGCCTGAAACATACAACACAAGCTGCACTCACAAGGTTAGCTGTGCTTCTGATGCCCCGTGGTAACTCTCCCATTCTTAGATTTTCATCTCAAAAAGTTCTGTGTTACTAAGAAACTGCCATTCCTTATACAAATACAGCAATGCTGAAGCGATGGGTATCATTCTTTGTCATCAGATTTTCTTGAGAGGCTGGTGCTTCACCTACATGACAGGTAAGCATGGGTTCTGCGCCTGGCCCCTGTGGTCCTGAGGCTGCACTGCTGGTGGGTGATGGAGCACCTGCAGGCACTCTTACGGAGTACGCATCTTGACTGTACACACTGTCTGGAGATGGGGGACACTTGTGAGGATGGAGGCTAGCAAAGAACCGTGTTTGTGAGAATCCTGTTTCTTTCCTATAGACATCGTAGGAAGTAGTCACTAAATCTGATTTGGCCGTTTTCTTATATTGTGGAGCCACAAACCCCTGTCTTTCTGGATTCAAATATTTGTATGTTTCCAGTACACTGGGCCCAGGAGGTTCTTGACCCTCAGTGATTTTCTGACAGTTCGTGAGACTGAGAGCATCTTAGGCAAGCATGTGTTCTGCATGGGGAAGCAGGAAGCTCGCCTGTTCAGTGAAGACTCAGAGATGGATCTGACTCTGAGCCACACAGAGACAGAGTGCTAGATGCGCATCTCAGCCGTGCCGAGATAGAGAGGGGCCAGGACTCTGGCTGTACATGCTGAACTGCCTGCAGGAGACTTAGGGTGCTGGAAACAGGCGCAGACATTCTCATACACAGCCAAGCTCGCTCATTCGGTCTTAACCTACATGCAACATTTGTTTTCTTTAAGAAGTGCTTGTAAATGTTACTTAATAACAGATGATGACACCTTGTGGGGAGATTCACTGACTCCTTTTTATTTAAGGGAGGAGATTTCAAAAGTTTTGCCTTGACTAAGATGAACCTCCAGGGTGGGAGGCTCCAACTTCGGCTTTGGGCCACACTGCCACCTGGCGGTTCGTCTGAGAACTCTAGTTTTCCTTGCATCTCCTGTAAAAGAACACAGGCCTGGGCTGTGCAGGGTGATTCAGGCCCCTGGTGGCACAGGAGAGTTCTCCGCCACATCCACAGACCTAGGGCTAAATAATTGATGTCGAGCTTATCTGAGACAGCAGTTTGAAAACACGCTACAACTTGGCTCCTAACGTTAATGAAGTATCAGGAGCTATCAGATTATCTACTCAGACAAGGGAAATTTGACTGCAGACTTAAACTAGTTAAATCAATGTATTGCAGGAGACATAGTGTCTAGGATGTCATTGCTTAATCCGTGCAATTAACACAGCTGAGGAGAGACTGTACCAACTGAAGGGGTGTGGCCTGGCCCGGCCTCTCCCGGGGCTCACTGGCCACACAGAACTCTCCAGAGGAGAGAATGTGGGAAATGGCTTATGGTGATCAGTCCCAGAGAGAGGTCATCCTCGCTCTAGCAGGAACGGCCCTCTGTCTCCCTCGATCTAGAAGAAGCTGTCCTCAGGATCATTGACTTCTCTTGGCTGAGTGATCTCCTGATAAATAATTCAGCATCGTGGGCATCCATATCCCAACCTTCCACCGCAGCCACAGGGGCTGCAGCGTCAGGAGGGAACGGCACTTTCTAAGCTAATACGTTGTCCCTAGTTTTACATTTCAGGCAACTGTGAATTCCCTCTTCCTAGCCTGTCATCTTCTGGTCGTTTCCAAGGGTATTTACTAAAGAAAGCGAGTGGAGGTCCCTGTCACCATTTGGGCAGTAGTTGCCTCTTTCAAAGTCCCGCCTAAGTTGTACCTGGACAGGTTAACTCCAAAGAAGATGCACACCCCTGAGAAAAAGCTGCCGGTGCTCGTGTGGGGCCCATGCTCATTACAGGACCAACAAGGTAGAGCGCTGGCCACTGTGGTAGAATTAAAAATCAACATGACCCATTTGCACAGGGTAATTTTCCAGAGGTTATGCTCTTCATAACCTCTCACTCATTTGTCTGTCTAGGAACATGCAGACACTCTTGTCCCTCGCCATCTACCTGCAGCCGCAGGGCTCCCATCTGCAGGAACTGCACTGGACAGCACCGGGCAGGAGGAAGCCAAGTCGTGCAGACCTACCTTCCGGACTTCTTTACTTGACCGGAACGTTTGCTGAACGAAGGACTCACTCTCAATAGCTTCGATTTCCTTCACTCTCTTCACCTGCTCCACCAGGGTGGCTTGGTCTGACAGAGAGGGGGGGAAGGTCAGCAGATTTGATGTGAGCTTGTGAACAACACTGCACTGAAGGAACATTCTTCCTTTCTGCGAAGAACTTTAGCACATGTGAAGCGTAAGCAGGTGGAGAGAAAGCATATCTGAGTTATTCTATAAGAAATGGCCGGGCTGCAAGGTAGCACTGGGATGTGGCTGAGAGCCAAGTCCTCCCCTGCGGCCCCTGGGAGAGGCGGCTGGGCTAGGAAAGGCGGTGCTCTGGGGTCTCTGACATGAGCGTTTTTCTATGGAAATACATATACATGTACAAGGAATAAGAACATCACGCTCTCACCACTTATACAATCACACTTATACAATCATTAACTTCCCGTTATTCTCATTTGATTTTGTCCATCACTACCTCAATCTTAGGAGTGGAAACCTGAAACATGTAAAAGTGAATCCTGAAGCCGGGCACCAGTGGCACACACCTGTAATCCTAGCTACCCAGGAGGCTGAGATCTGAGGATCCCAGTTCAAAAAACCAGCTTGTGCAGGAACTATGAGACTCTTTTCTCTCCAATTAACCACTATAAAGCCCGAAGTGAAGCTGTGGCTTGAGTGGTAGAAAGTTAACTCAGGAAGAGTGCCCAGGTCCTGAGTTCAAGCCCCAGGACTGGCACACGTACAACAAAAAAAGTAAATCTTGGAAAGCTTGTCATGTTACCCGTAAATATTTAGACGGCATCCTGAGAGGTCGACAATAAAACCACCATATAGTGGAGATCCCACTTCCCACCTCCAACATTGCCATGTTCCTCAGTGCCACTCAGGCAGTTCGTGCGTGATTTTCCCAGCTTGCTACAGAAGCGCCTCCCACAGCTGGTTCTGGGCAGAGCCAGGCGCATGCACTCGGCAGCCCATCTCCTGTCACCCTGCAGTGCAGCCGCTGCCCCTTTGTGGCCGTCATTCGTGAGCCTGTCTGGGTTCGGGGTGGGGGTGGGGGCTGTGGTGGCTTCCTCACTCTGGATTGGCTGATCTCAGCTCACGTGTCACGTGCATGCGTCTCCAGCCCTCCTCTGTTGCACTTGTGTTCAGTGTCTTTCGATCACATGTACCCCAGGTGCAATGTGTGCGCCTCTTCCACTCTGCTAGGACTCACTTCTGCGGCCAAGTGAACAGCCCTGACCTGAGGCCCAGGCGATGTGGGCTAACCCCCCATGACGGCTCTGCACTCGCTTTCACGGAATGGCTCTAGCTCATTAGTGCTCCTTTCTCAGATAGATTATTTCATCACAGGCTATGATTTCCCAATTTTTCTGTTCTTCACTTATTAGCTCCAATCTTCTATGGTGAAGAACTTGCCGTTGTTGGCTGTAGTGGTAAGTCAGAAAGATGTCTGTTTTGTTCTCTGTGGTTTAGAGATCACCACTGTGAACACTCACATTTACACGCTTGGCGCACTTGGGTCCACTGTGTCTCTTTTCCTGGGTCGAGGCTCACATGGTCTGTTTTGAGCAGTCCCCACCTCAGGCTACTATCCCCAGAACAAGACACGATACTCCAGATGCCCCAAAACAAGACATGACACTCCAGATGCCCCCAAACAAGACACGATGGCCCGGACGCCCCAAAGCAAGACATGATGCTCCGGACACCACAAACAAGAATGATGCTCCAGATGCCCCAAAACAAGACATGATGCTCTGGATGCCCCAAAACAAGACATGACACTCCAGACACCCCAAAACAAGACACGATAGCCCAGACACCCCAAGACACAATGCTCCAGACGCCCCAAAACAAGACACGATGCTCCAGATGCCCCAAAACAAGACACGGCGCTCCGGACACCTCAGGCTACCATCCCCAGAACAAGACACGATGCTCCAGACGTCCCAAAACAAGACACGATGGTCCGAATGCCCCAAAACAAGACGATGCTCTGGACATGCCAGGCTGCTCCTCCCTGATGGACAATGAAAAGCCACTTCTCCAAAGAGCTCTACTTGTTCCAGGGGAAAGAGACAGGGGACACACCTGTGCACAGGGATGTGCCTCATCACTGTCTCTGGGGGGTAAGACAGGAAGCAGCCTCTTGTCAAAGAGAAAAATTAATATGACTTCATGCTGATGACTACCAGCCCTATTCCACACCACTGGATTTCTAACGTCCTTCTTTATATTTGTGTGTCTTTTCTGTTACTCTAAAACTATTCACTTCAAAGAGCGAGGACAAGTTGACAAGGTGTATTAATGATGTTAACATTTTTCAGTCTTTATGACTTTATTCTTCGGATGAACTGTTGGAACAGAATGCTCGAAAGTCACTTGAAGCCATTTTTATTTATTTATTTATTTATGGGTCTGGTCAGGGGGCCTGAACTCTGGGCCTGGGTGCTGTCCCTTAGCTCTTCAGCTCAAGGCTAGCACTCTACCACTTGAGCCACAGCACCACTTCTGGCTTTTTTCTTTTTGCTTATGTGGTGCTGAGGAATCGAACCCAGGGCCTCATGCATGCAAGGCAAGCACTCTACCACTGAGCCACCTTCCCAGCCCTGAAGCCATTTTTATGTGTTTATGCCATCGAGTCTTTTATGCAGCTAAGTTCTTTTGTGTGTATGGAGGGGTGGTAGGATTTGAACTCAGGGCCTGGCGCTTGCTGGTTGGATTTTTCTGCTCAGGTTGGCCTTGAACCACAGTCCTCTTGTTCTCAGCCTTCTGAGCAGCCAGGGTTGTAAGCACCCGGCATCTCAGTTCTTTATTGATTTTTAGGTCTTACTAATGATAATTTTTAAATACTTAAATAGTTGAGGTCAAAAACTTCAACCTCACTATTGGGATCTAGATTCCCATCCCCCCATCCTATGTTTCTAGTTCTCCCTTCAATCCATAGGTAACTACTTTTAACATGTTTGGATTATCTTCCTATAGATTATTTTTGAAAACAGAAGTGTACATATCCTCTTCTTGCCTATTACATAAAATCAGAATGTTATACAGTCCCATATGTAGCTTGAGTTAACATGTCTTCACGGTAACTTTACAGAACCTTAGTGACTTCTTTGCTCTGCTTTACAGCTGCCTCACAACCTATCTTACAGTTTTACACTGGGTTTTTTTTTTTCTCCCAGCGCTCTGTGGATAGTTATTTCAAGTCTTTTGCTCTTACAGTCACTGTCTTAACAAGCAAACCACACACATATGTCATGTCATAGTTTTGTATTTTCTTTCCCACACGCTGGCTGGGCAGAAAAACTCTAACACGAGTCACAACTTTGCTGCTGACATTTTTCTCCACACGGACAGGACCCGTGGCTACATGAACGCAGGCGCTGTGCCATTACAGGATGAGAGTTCATGGGCAGTGGTGAGATGTACTTTCTTTGTTGGTCATGGGTCTTGAACTCTGGGCCTAGGCACTGTCCCTCAGCTCTTCAGCTCAAGGCCAGTGCTCTACCACTTTGAGCACAGCGCCACTTCTGGTTTTCTGGTGGTTAATTGGAGGTAAGAATCCCACGGATTTTCCTGCCTGGGCTGGCTTTAAACCACGATCCTCAGATCTCAGCCTCCTGAGTAGCTAGGATGACAGATGTGAGCCACTGGAGCTTGGTGGTGGCTAAGAAACATCTGTAAGAACTAGTTTAAAAAGAAGGTAGACAGATTTCCATCAAAGTTATTTTTATATCCTGGAAGTTCTAAGCTGAATGGGTGAATGCTGCTACAGAGATAAATAGAAGGACTGTGAAAAGAAATTTGATTCCATGAATTTAATAGAAATGAGGCGTTTCTTAAAGGTGTCTGGCCAATCTCAAATTTGTTTCCTCTCATGCAGGCCCCCGCTGACCTGGGAGAAGGCCCGTCCTGCGGCCAGACACACGCCCCCCACCCCCACCCCAGGGCTGTGCTGGGACTTTCCCGGGAAGCATGCGGGCGCTGCTGGGAGGGGCAGCAGCTCCAGCACTGCTGAAGGCTCTGGAAGGAGCCGGCTCCCCGCACAGCTGCCCTCCAGGCATTCATTATGCAGTGCGCTAACTGCGGATGCGAAATGAAACGAGAGCTTCTCTGTCCAGCTAATTTACTAAAATCCACACATCCCTGATCAGTGGATGTTTAGCACTGCGCGTGGAAGGAACGTTAATAAAGCAGGGAAGGGTGTAATGGGCACCGTTCTACCTAACCCTGTCGGTACAGGCCCTAATTATCTCGCATTATTTCTCACTCAGGATGAGGTCTCATTCGTATCAACTGTAGGGCATCTTAGGTTTTTCTCTAACATATTCTCTCATTTGGATTTGCAAAAGCACATCATTAGTATTAAATGTCAGAGGTGAACTCACAGACAGTTTGGCTTTCCAATGCCGGTAGTGTTTGTAGCTTTAAATTTGGAAACACAACCAGCTCCTAATACAAATAAAAGTGTTATCACAGAAGCTGGCCAAAAGGCCAGCATGCTTATTAAAACAGCACTGTAGAAATTATAAAGGAAAGAAGGAGAAAGATGAGAGAAAACAGAACATCATCTTTGTGCTTTAAAAAATCACCACAGGATTAACAAGGTGACAGGCCAGATAGGAGAAAGCCAGCTCTCCTGACTTACAATATGAAAATAAACCAACACAGCTTTTATCTTTCAATACCAGAGCTATGCTCTGGTTTGAGACAGTGATATTTAAATTAATGCTGGAAAGATTCATGGGAGATACACATTTTCAGCCTCATAATAGCTCAGCTCTGTATTTTCTGAAAGCAATGCAAAAGTATTTTAAATGGCATCATACTCAAAATTCCCAAATGTATTTTTTGAGCACATGCTGTCATTATAGGAAGCAGAATAAACTACCTCAATTACATGAAGTCTGCTGTTAAGCTGTACACGCCAATTGACTTTAAGGTTCAAATTTAAGGTGGGGAAAGGTGAGTTATGACCGGCAATTTTATATGTTCACAATTGGTGACCTAGCATGGGCAGAAGAAAAAATAAAGAAACAAAGTTACCAGAGGATGAAATGACAGATGCTTCACAAGA